AATAAAATAATTGGACCTTGTGAATCTTCGACCAACACTGATGTGGCTTCGATGTTAACTCTACTATTTTTTTATTTCATGATGCTTAATGTTGTTTCTTAAAATAATTTCCGTACCTCGGTGGGTTTTACCAAATGTATATTAAGTTACATAGATTGAATGTTTGGGAATAGAGAAATAGCTATTATTTTTCATGTGCTCTTCGGAAATAAACGTAACATTTAGATTATGAGAGTAATTAAATACTTTAACAACGAGGAAATAAGTGGTTAAGCCATTGGCATTCCTATAGCACGTCTTTAATTTAGTGTTAAAAGTTAAGCTTAGATATTAGAGACATTATGATAACAAACATCTTATCCATTCTTTTCATTAACTTATGTACTAGTAGTTGCAGATTGTTTTGCATATGTTGAGGAGTTGTCATTTCTATAACACGAAAAGCCTCATCAGAGGTAGATGTATTTGTATTATCTCTTCCTGCAACAATTTTCGCATAGCTGATAGATGGTTAAGTGATTGAAAGATGTAGAGCACGAGGTGGTTGAGTTGCGTTTTTTTTCTAGAAGTGTTGGAATTTATTTTATGCAGCTCCTTGTCTACTGAATATTCTTACATCCCTTGTAGCTGGCAGGATGATTTTCTAGACAATTTACACATTAAACATCTTTTATATTTATTTATTTAGGACATTAGACGATAGATTGAGACATTTGGCATTGGAGTAGTTCCCTTTTTGGATGCAGTGGCTGAACTGTGACAAAAGAGTTAAGTAATTTCGTAATATCATATATATCTTTATTATTATTTTAAATAGCCGGTTTTATATTAAATACTGGCAAATATTTTTTTGTACCAATTTGCTTAATACTGGAGATGTTCAGTGATGTATGTCCATGCGCTAGTAACGCTATTTTAATGTCATCTGGATCTGTTGAAGGATGTAAATTATGTATATCCACGGTTTTGTTTTAGAAGGTATGTATGGTACTGAGTATTTTTTTTTCTGCTAAAGATTTTATGATTAATGAATAGTTTTTGGATGAGTTAGCTTAAAATTTATTTTAGTTATTAACAAGACATTTTAAAGCATATTTACCTAGACTTATCTGCTCTAGTATTTTGTATAAATATAGGTGGTGGCTGTTCATCTTTCTGGTCTTCCAGCATTTTAACTTTTCATTAGGTTTATCATTTTCAAGTGCCTCGTATCTGTTAGACATATAAACAGATTTATTAAGTTAATAATTTTTAAGTATAGATTGTTTATTGCTTTATAATTCAGGACTATAATCGTAGCGTTGAGGTGTCTTGTGGTAGTCAGATATCCATTCACCATCACTTTTTACCTTATCTGCACCTGGGAGATTTTTTTTGTGGTTTCCCTATTTGAAAGTTTGGTAAATTGGTAAGTAGATTGTTGTTGTGTATTTTAAATTTTTTCTGCTGTTCATTTAGTGAGTTGTAAATGTCTTTTCGATTTCTTCCACGTGGATGAGTTTGGGTTAGGCTGGATTTTTTAATGACTAGATTTATGTCCCCAATGTGTATAACCATTGGAAAATCGTATAAACAAATTAAATTTCGCAAAAACTTTTTAACTGATTTGGCCCATCTTTTGCACATAAACACAGTAAGACCCTTAAACAAATTTTAATAAACAATAAAAATGTTATTACCAATATTTAAAAACGGCGATTTTGTTGTTTATTTTGCACTAGCTTTCTTGTTTATCATCCGATTTTAATTTTGCTTATCTCATGTTTTGCATCTTTTTTTTCTAAAAAAGTTATCTGTTAACGTCAAATCTTTAAATAGACAAATTTATAAGTTATGAGCAAAATAATGAGTTTGGCTGTTTATTTAAACATATTTTTAAAAAAATTGATGAATCCCTAGCTGAGATAATTTTTGTATTTTCTCATACTACATATTTCAACAATCAAACCCGTCTACACTTTTTTTTTGAAGGTAAGAATCTTCAAAAAGACCGTCTGGGAAGGTGTCCCAGGTGTGTCGGATTTAGTCCGGCATGCTTCACCACGTGCCAAGGCCACCTACCGACTAAACTCAAACCCCTCTCCCTTCAGCCGACGGGTCAGGAACCGCACTTAGCGTACATGTCTGACCCGCTGAATTTAACCCTAACTCCCCTGTGGCACTTTTCACGTGCATTCCATTGGTTTGGCTGCCACCTATCCTCCCGCCCCGCAAAAGCCTCGCGGCAGACTGGTTGGTGAAGCGACCTTCCGGCGCAACTCATTCGCGGGTGGGGCGACCAGGTTGCCCCCCCACATGATGGAACTAGCAAGACAGAACTATTTGGTTATTACGAGTAACGCCAAACATTCTTACTTTCATCAATTCATTTATTCATTACACCCATTCATTCAAAACTCAAGATTTTAAACAATGAGGCAGTCGGCGTTGGTTGGGTATAAAGGATCCTCCCCTGCTAACTGCGACGGATACGGATAGAACAAGGAAAACATAAATCTAAACAGAAACGCAACGAGAAACTCAAAAGGCACTCAGTCTGAGTCAGATGTAAAAGTCCTCGCCCTATTGAATGTCTCTTAAGATATGCACCAGAGTTAAATAAAATTAGAGTAAAAACTTTAAAATGTTGTATAAATAAAATTGGTAAATAAATAAATAAATAAATAAAACAGAATAAATAAAAAATAAAATGAAATAAGGGCCGTCAACGTAGTTTGGATGCGTAGTTTAATGTCATGCAAGGCAGTCACCATCTCACCTGGTGACTGCCTTGCATGACATTAAACATTAACAATGTGCAAACACATTAAAAAATAAATAAAGACGATCGGTCATCTCGCTTGCAGACGCCTCTCTTTTTCCTCTCTGTGTTTGATAATCTTGGTGACAAAAGCAAGCAATGACCAGGTCGAAGTCTCTCTTGCTATTGATAGCTTTATCGATTAACTCGTGAGGCTCGCCTAGAGGGAATCCAAGACCCAGCTGTAGCTCGGTACGCTCCGCATGATATGCAGGACACACGAAAATAACATGCTGCGCGTAATCTACCACTCGACATTAGGGACGCAGTCGTCTGCAGTCTTCCCTATACGGTGAATAAATTTCCTAAACGATCCATGTCCCGTCAAAAACTGTGTGAAGTAGCAATTGATGCGCCGATGCCAGCATTCGTACCACCTCACCACATCCGGAATCAGGGATCTCGTCCAGGCCGCCTTCCCTACTTCGGATGTCCATTCCCTCTGCCACGTCTGTAGACTTCTCGTCCTTTTCTGTGGTCCTGAACGTATTGCTCCATTGTCCCCTCGGTACATTCGGTCTCTTTCTCCGGTCACAATGTGCACCAGTAAAGAACCAGCTACCACCTGTAAGGCAATGGCTGATACGGTTCTGTACGCACTGCAAACCCTGATCGGAGGTTTTCTCTGAGCCCTAGGAAGCATGTCTTTGTACTTTGTCATTTGAAGGACCTCGTGCCACACTGGGGCCCCGTATGTGCTAACACTATGTGCAGGATTGATTGCAGCATCACCTTCCTTTCCTAGCCTCCCGGACCCCTATATTTGGCATCAGCTTATTTAGTGTGGAGGTTCTTTTTTCTGCCTTCCGACATGCTTCTTGTTTATGTTGTCCGAATGTAATCCTGTCGTCAAATATATCTAAGTATTTCACTGTCTTCTGGGGTCTTATTGCGGAGCCTTTGTATTCAAATATAATATCATTTTTTTTCTCGGTCTCCTCAAGATTATGACTTTCGTTTTCTCTACTGTTAGCTTTAGGTAATTTCTGTCTATCCACGCCGCAGTCTTTCGTATTGCTCTATTTACTTTTCCTATTATTTCCCAATTCGTGTCGTCTTCGACTAGTAAAGCTAGATCGTTTGCGTATGCAATCGCTTTCACTCCATCTCCTTGTTGACTTATAGTACCCCATTATATAATATATTTCATAGTAAGGATCCCAGGATTTCTTTCTCCTTTTTTTTTTGATATGCATACGGTTCTGTCAGATAGGTAGTCCTTTATTATGTTGGACATATATTCTGGGGCCCATTTGACGATTTTGTCTTCTATATGGCTTGAATTTGCTAAATTAAATGCATTTCTTATGTGAAATAGAATACGGACCACGCATCTTTTCTTGCTTGTTTTTGCCGCGTCCCTTATCCAGGTCGCGGCATCGACTGTCGATCTACTTTTACAAAACCTGTTGATTTGATAACACTCTGATATCTTTCAACACGCCTTCCAGCCTTCTCTTGATAAGTCTTTTATAAAACTTACCAAGTCAGTCCAGGAGGCATATTGGCCGATAAGAGGATGCTGAATCAGGGGGTTTCCCAGGCTTTAAAAATAGAAGTAGGTTCGCTTCCTTTAGGTCCCTAGGAAACTCTTATTTCTGTAGTAGGTTGTTACATATTCTTTTGATCAAACCTGGTTTGTCCGTTGCTACTATCTTAATTGTCTCTGGTGGAAGCCCGTCGGGGCCAGGAGCTTTTCCTGTCTTCATTTCCTGGCCAGCGGTTCGTATTTCCTTCTGTGAACTCCTCTATTATTGTTGGACATAATTTTATAAAATTTTGGATTTTCTTGGTGGGGAAGAGGAGTTCAGCTGATTCCATCCGCTGGTCCTTGACGAGTTTATATGGGGCCATGACTTTCAACGTCTTTATGGTAATTTTAAATGCGTCGCTCCATATATCCTCTTCCAATGCTTTTATCAGGGTCTGTCACTTTTCTTTTTTTTTCCTCTTTTATTATTTTATTTAGGGTTCTCTTTAGATCTCTCTGTACTTGTTTCAGCTCGAGGTTGCCCTGGCTTATCGTGTAATTCCTTCGAGCTCTGAGGCATCTCTCTCATAGACCTTCTATCTCATCCGTCCACTAGTAGGGGGATTTTTATTTTCCTTTCTCTTCACGGTGGCCAACTTTGCAGTGTTTTCTAGTGCTCTTATCAGTTGACCAAGGTTTTAAGTTTTGTAGGTAAACAAACGCAGATGTATGGATGCCAGCATGATAAATTTATTTAATTACAATGTTGGATACATTCACACTTAATCACATATAATATATTTAAATTGTAAGTTATAATTAAAATCCTTTTTAAAAATGCAAAGGCAATTCTCAATATTCTTATGAACATGGATTTTTTTATAATAAATTGGACACATTTTTATAATTATCTAATATTTACACTTTTTTAAGACAAACAAAATTAGATTATTAAGTTTAATGAGTTTTATATATTATATTAACAATAATAAAAAGAAAGAAATCATCAGAATAGTAAGTAACAAACACAGTGATAAAATTGATAATATTAAGGGCTTGAACGCAAATCAGGAGACAATGGATAATAGAAAGGTTCAAAATAATACCAATCAATCTCTTAACTACTTCTGTCATTTCAAAAAGTTTCTTAGGAATATGTTCTAGTCTTGATGCCAATCTGTATAAGAGACCTGAGAAAAGCAATACTGCTTGCGATGTCCATATGGGTAAGAAAATATATGGGAGGTATTTCAATTTACAAGGTCATCTAGAGCTCGAAAGATAATAAAAACATACTCGGAATGGTCCCATTGAAGGTCAATTTTTATGATACTTTAGGTATCTGTGATGAGTGAATTTTCGCCTTACTTAAGAGACAACTATGTGGCTTAAATTTGGATGAATCTAGAATTGTATTATTACTTTCAAAAGTGCCGACACAAAAAATACGTAGAATATAAAAAGTCTTATCGGAATTTAGGAGTTAAGAAATAAAATTAAATAGTTTAAATTTCTATTAGTAAAGGTCCAAAGCGAGGCTGCTGCATAGCACATACACTCTTCAAAATTTATCTGAATGAGGCGCTGTCATTGTGAAAAAGAAAGTGCTGCAATATAGGTATTCCAATCGAAGACGACAGATAATACACCATACACTTAGCTGACGACCAAGCCATTCTAACTGAAGGGAAGAGCGATATACACTGTATGCTTAAAAAACTGGAAGAGGAGTACACGAAGTGGGGCCTCACAATAAAAATACAATAAAAATCAAGTACAAAAGACTAAACCGATATAGATATCTGCAGAGAATACCTGAAAATAGGAAGCCAAAAGAGAGAAAAAAGGATTACGCCCAGTAGAATAAAATGAGGTAGACCAAGAGGGTCCTAAAAAGAAGAATTGTTAAATATAATTGAGAAAGACAAATCCTACCAATAACATGGATGATAGAGAACAACTAGTCAGTAGACGAGAAAAAACAATAAACAAATAATATAATTCCGGGATATACCTTAAAAAAATCACAAAGTCTACATCTTTAGGCCAGAAAAAGACTCGTCGATGTGAAAGATTGCACAATATTTTGAAATAAAGTGAACAAAACATACATTGAGTAAAATATCCCAAAGAAAGTAAAATCGTTAGAGAAATTAAATAATCAAATTGAACGAATACATAATGTATGGGAACATAGTATTAACAATCTTTAGGTCAGCAAAGTATACCATATTTTCAAGCCAGATAACTAATATGGCACATAAACGAATTTAGGAACAACGCAAATTCAATCATATGGTATTAAAAATGCTATAGAAACTATTAATAGCTAGAGAAAGTAATGTATAGAGAATTCAGCATTGCCATAATTTGTTTTTTTTTTCATTTTCATTTTATTATTCAAATAATTATACTTTCGTATATCTTGTTTCTAGGTGGAGTGACATCCAGTGGTTTCAGGAATTAAGTTAAATAAAAAAAGCTCAATATGCCGTAATTTTAGAAACAAGACACTATTAATCTTCAAACAAAAGATCTGAAGAAGCAATATGTGCTAACATCAGGAAAAGGTGATAGAACTTAAAGATCTATAGAAAGTATCAACAAAGCCAGATGGCAGAAATGATATATTTTATATAAGAATTAGTAGTTAGTAGTAGCAGGTAAGACAAATGAAAATTATCTTTCCAGACTAACCATATTAGGATTGCTCAAAGAAAATCTAAGTAGGGATAGGCCAAGACTAAGGCGAATAAGGAGCGACATATCTAGGACGTAAAATATATTCAGATTCCAACATTAGGCAAAATAATTATCTAGAAATCTTAAGCCCTAGGCTACGCTGGGTAGCTCTTGTTAAAAATGTAAAAATAATATATAATGCTCCTAATCGAAATTAATTTTGACTTTCTACAATAGTGGAGATTCTATTTCACCTCTTGGCAAAATGCACAGGTACTTTTACGACACAAGAAAGGAAACAAACAAAAAACCGAAAATTACAGACCAATAAGCCTGCTACCACATCTGTACAAACTGCTTACCAAAATAATTACCAACAGACTATCACATACGTTCGATAATCACCAACCTGGTGAACATGCGGGATTTCGAAAAGGCTATAGTACCATAGAACACCTGCAGACAATACGGAAACTTATAGGAAAGTCTAACGAATACAGCAAATCTCTGTATTTAGTACTTGTAGATTACAATAAGGCATTCGATTCCATAGAGCTCTGGGCTAATAATAATAATAAACGAATAAATAAAACAAGGATTGATTCCAGATATAAACTGCTGCTAAAATGTATAACGACAATGCAACTCTGTAGCAAAATGTCTAATAACAAGCAAAAACTTTGGTTTAAAGTTAAACAAGGAGACGGAAGACACGAACTCTCCAAAATTGATTACACTTGCAATCAAACGACGGAAATCACTAAAAATATATGAATGACTTGGGTAGCGGTAAGAAGACCCATTGTTGTGTTGAAAAACAAAAAGATACCAATAAATTTAAATAAATGGCTATTCAATAGTTGTAGCCGATCGGTTTAACCTATAGACTGAAGACCGTGACATTTACAGAGTTATCAGCCAATAGATTATGAACAATAGAGAAGGATATTGAACGAGCTGTATTAGGAGTTTTTGCAAGACAATCTGAAGAAAACAAGGATGTGCGAAACAGCTTGAAGGTGAAAGATATAATTGGAAGAATTGCACAACTTATATAAAGCTAAGTAGCTAGACGGCATCAAATAGCACAGATTTGAGAAGAGTATAGAGTTGATTAAGAGACCTTGTTAGTGGATACCAAAAGGCTGAAGCAGAAGAGAAGAAGAAAAAGAAGCCAATAGTACCAAATGGAAAGTCATCAACAGGATATGAAAACAGTTTTGTTTTAAAACATTCTTTTTTAAGATTACAGGTAGTAGAAGAGACAAAATAAGTATAGTCTTACGTGAAATATAACTAGACAAGAAATTCAGTTGATTCGTATAAATAGATAATATTTTAAGATCAGCTTTTGTAGTGTAAATGAATTTAGCAATATTGTTTATAATTTAGTTATTTTTTTATCTAAACATACATACAAGTCAATAATTAGTGCAATTTTCAACAAATGCCATTTGCAATAATGAAAAATGTGTCCCATTTCATGATAATTAAACAGCAAATTTTTGATCTAAACTATGTTTTTAGATTGATTTAAAACATTAAGAATTTTGTCAGTTTGTATTAGTTTCTAGTTTGTAAATGATACTTATATACACATAAACAAAAAGTTTGTATTTCTTAACGCTAGAGTTGGTTTCCCGTACAGACTTTTGATTATCAAAGGTGGCAAGACCTAAAACAAAACAAAGAATTAGTATGCTTAATAGACACATCTATAAAAATATAAATATTCTTGGATTTTATTCAGAGTGTTGGTTTTCTTCCTACATTAAAATCATAGCAAAATATCCACACATTTTTTGATGTTATCTTTTATAGTTTTGTAGCACTATAATATAATTCAAACCTTTATTACATACATACATACCAAGTGTAAAGTAATAAAGGGTAAGTGCCTAGCTAGTCAGCATGGACCGGCCATGGTAGATACGGAGATAAAGGTAAGGCAAAAAGGAAAGCAAGTACGACACCAGAAAGTAAACTGGTGGGAGTTAAAGCATAAGGATTTGGCAATAGTCTGTAAGAGTAACGTTCTGGATGAGCCTGAGAAAAAAAATACGGTAAACGATTGGTAGGAAGACAACAGTAAGGTTGTGGTGCGAGTGGGAAAGAAAGTGATAAGAGAAACATCTGGTAAAGGAGCTTCTGGGATGCAAGGTATAGTAATGAGCAACGTGTAGCCTCTCCTATCCAAATGTTAACCTCACATGTCCGCGTCATGATCTTAATTATGATCATCCGGTACATCCTGCTAGATAACAAATGCGGCTCTGACGTCCGAGTGATTGCCGGTATAAGCAATCCCCCTCTTACTGACCAACGGCTTAGGGCGGATGACTTGGTGAGTGGTAGGGCATTCTTGTCTCCTAAGGTTGAGAAATCGGCCCCGAAGGCGGATAAATCAACAAACTCGGCATAAAAATGCAGAAGGCAAAGAGAAACCACTGTATTGACATAGAGAACCCCCAGAAAAATCACCATATAATTGACACTGCAATTTCAAACCGTTACTAATCATGGAAAGCGCAGGTCAAGATTTGGCAGGAGACAGGAAACATATTTATACCACAAGGCCTCTCAGGTCGTAAACATGCGTAAACCTCGTAAAAAAATCCTAAAAATAAAGAACTCTAATTTTAGAATGAGCACATGGAATGTTAAAAATCTATTTGTGGATGGAAAACTTGACAACACAATTCAAGAAATGAAGAGAATAAAAATAGACCTACTGGGAATCAGCGAAATGAGATGGCCAGTGCCAGGATCATGTAAAAATGACGTAAGTGATATTATTCCGGTAACATCACAAAAGACTCGCATCACAAAAATGGTGAAGGTATATTTGTAACATCAGAACTGAGTTAATATGTAACCAATTTCGTACCAGTCTAGATAGAATAATATTACTCCAAATACATACTCAACCAGTTAAAACTAACATACTTCAAATTTATGCCCCGACTGCAGATAGAAAATATGACGATAATGTCAAAAAGTTGTATGATCAGATTTAAGACATCTTACAGAAACTTAATAAATACGAA